ACTTCATCTTCTTGTAAGATTATAGAGTATGAAGTATTTAAATTCATGTAAGAATGTGCTTTCTCGGAATAAATCAAATTAAGTATTGCCACCAACCATGTATGCAAAGGAAGATAAGAAGAAACTGAGGAACAGAATGAGTGGTCCCGTTGGTTCAACTTCGTCTTCAATCAAGGAAGAAACAGCGACTGAGTTGGCTGGGTTGCCTGAGTTGAATGCAATGGCACAGAAGGAAGCAGGTCTTGCCTAGGACTCGGACTGGTTCCTTCTGTACAGTATTTGCTTTTTAACACTGGTTGGAATAAAAGCAAGATACTCCTTCAAATCCACACCAAATACAATGAGTCATCAACACTCGCACTCGCACTCGGGTGCTTGTGGCCACGAATCACACGACCACAACCACAACCACGACCATGACCACGATGGACCAGACCGGTTTGTTTGTTTGTTGTTCCTTGTTCCTCCAACCAACTTCCAACCAACCACACTCACTCCGATCTCAAACCAGTGGCGCTGAATTCACCCTGTACAAACACATTGACATTGACAACATTCGCACGTTCAACGAAGCCGTGCCTGGTTCGGGAAAGACTGTCTTTAAGAGCTACGAGGAACGACTGGATGACTCAAAGGTACCTACTACATCTCGCACGTTGAAAGAACCGAGTGAAGAAACGAATGAACAATAGTTGAAAGAACGGAGGTCTGACCGGGCTCGACTTGATGGAGACGGACAATGTTTGTGGACCTACGAAGTCTGACTGACGATCCGACTGAAGGAAACGACGAAACTGAATCAGTGCGAAGTTGGAGTGTTGGATGATGTGAATGAGCTATCATCAGATCCATCGTTAACACATTGATTCACTCTGACACACTCACGCATTCACATTCCAGTTCGTCGAATCAGATGCAGACGACCAGTTGATCATCTTTATTCCGTAAGTGTACCTCCGTCATACACCCAATGTCATATTCCAAACCCACACTAAACATCCAACCCAGATTCACTGGAAACGTGAAACTCAAATCAATCGCAATCCGCGGCTTTGGCGAACACTCTCCCTCCTCCATGAAAGCGTAACGACTCTTCTATTCAACGCGCCACAAAGCTCTAACTATCCTCAAAACACAAAGATACATCAACCGCGAAGACGTTGACTTTTCAACAGTCGAATCCATCACAACCGCAGACCAAGAATGGGAGCTAATCGATCCAACAGTAAACACCCTCTCCGAGTAAGCACACACTCCCATTCCCCCAATCCTTTCAGACTCACAACCCCTATCCCACATTCAAAGCATCCCCGAATACCCAACGCGTCTCACGAAATTCGGAAACGTGCGAAACTTGACGCTCTTCTTCCCTGGAAACGTGTCGAATGACGATGTCACGCGAATCACGTATATCGGACTCAAGGGGGAATGGACGCCTGTGAATAAGGATCCGATTATTACGATATACGAGGCAGCAGCGAATCCGGCGGATCACAAGAAGATTCAGGGTGTGGATTCTGTGGGGAGTGCTATTCAATAAAGCCGGTTTATGATGATCGAACTTGCGATACGAGTATGACAGCGAATAAGGTTCAAGGTGGATTCTGTGGGTAACGCTATTTAAATAAATATTGGACGGGAATTTGGAATTCCCAATGATGGTCTTGACTGCAAATTCTACGGTTTATGGAATGCGATCCGCCGACTACTGATCATAAAGATTCAGGACATGGATTCTCTGGGGGGTGCCATTCAATGAAGCCGGTTTCTGATCTCCGAGAATCGCACTTGCGATATAAGTATGACAGCGAATAAGGTTCAAGGTGGATCTGTGGAGAAGGCTATTTAATAAAACCTTTTTAGGAACTCTCCTTCTATGTGGATCATTGATCGAATACCAAGTATTTATGTCGTCCAATTCAAGTCCTACGTTGGCGCCAATACTGCGACAAAGATTTTACTGTCGTTGACAGCGGACCTGCCAGACACACATAGTCATTACCAATGGGAAGAAATCTTCACTTCTGTTTGAGTGTTGACTCTCCTCTCCTCAGGCAAACATTTCACATTTATCCTATTTAACTAATTCTTTCATTTATTTGTGATTATTTAGTGTCAATTCGAGAATAACCTTTCCAAATGTTGGTTGCCTTCATCAAACCCAACACTCCTTCTTCCGCCGCCACCACAAAAACGACCTCAATCTTCATAACAGTATCTCTATAATCTTTATTGGAAGGTGTAAAAGGACATAAAGCGCCAATCTGAATGTGAAACACCCGCACCCCCACACCAAAATCACCCATGCCAAGTCAAAAAGCGTATGCTCCCATACGGGGAATCGAACCCCGACCGCCGCCGTGAAAGGGCGGAATCCTGACTGATTTCTAAAACCATTTGGTCACTTTTCTGATTTATAAACTATGAAATTTCAGCCATAACGCACATTCAACACAGGCGTATGACCCTCAGACTTCACCAAAGCTTAATTTGCATGCGTAAAATGATGCAGATGTCCCTCAAGACGTATTTTCAACCGTGGTTTGGGAGATATCAAGGGATTTTACTAACCATGGTGGGTGTTACACAGACTCCGTTCAAGGTACAACTGCCATGTTTTACGTGTCTGACACTTTTGATTGATTGCATATATTTACAATTGTCGATTCTATGGGTATAGATACCTTCTTTAATGAATTCACCAGGAATACTGTGAATCTTGATTATCATAAAGATAAATGAAATAATACTGTTAAATTTTATTGCATAGCTTGAAATTGCCTTAGTTAATTCCTTGTTTATGTATGATGGTTTAATTCTATGTAATCATTTCAACCGTTTCAAATCAACCCAATCAAATCATCACTCTCAAAACTTCCGGAATGTCTCACGACGCAAACACAAGAAAGTCTCCAAAATGTTCAATTTTACCTTCAACAAGCCATCTACATCGTTTCCAATGCCCGTCGGTGAAAAGAAGACCCAAACCCTCGAAAACACCACCTCCCGCCCAATAGATTCAATCATCAAATCAGGAGTCTTCACAGAAGGCGGCGGCTTTCAAGTAAAACGCCCTTTTCCCACACGCACCATGATGCAATTCGACCCGTTCCTTATGCTCGACCATTTGGGTCCAAAACACTATGGGCCTTACGAGTTCCCTGGCGCACCTACACATCCACATCGCGGCTTTGAGACTGTTTCATGTACGTCCCACCTAAACTCGTCTCCTTCTTTTCAACGTATTCTTGCAATAGACATCATTTCCGGCGAAAACGTACACCACGATTCATCTGGCCACACGGGCGTAATGAAGCCAGGTTGGGTGCAATGGATGACTGCAGGCAGCGGCGTGCTCCACTCCGAATCACCTACAGAGGAGTTCTCAAAGACGGGTGGGGTTGTGGAAGGGTATCAGATTTGGGTGAATTTGCCAAGGGATAAGAAGATGAAGACGCCAAAGTATCAGGATTATGCTCCGGATCGGGTTCCGAAGGTTACGGTTGGGTTTCCGGGGCGGAGGAATAGTGCGACTGCGTGGGTGAATGTTATTGCAGGGGAGGCGTTTGGGGTGAAGAGCGTTATTACCACTGAGGTTGGTGTTTTCTGGTTTGTAGTGGTTTACTGATATGTTGTATTAGTCTCCTATCGCGTTACTTCACTTCGTTCTTCAGCCTGGCGCTAAAGTTGTTTGGACTATTCCACAAGAATATAGAGAGAACTGGAATACGGGTGTTTACGTTTCAGCTGGAACAGGTCTCTTTGGCGAATCTGTTCAAGATGGGCAAGATGCTTCAAAAGGAGCGCAAGTGGGTGTGGCTGGGGATTTTGTAGTTTTCAGCAAATCCAGTGGAAACGATTCAAGTGGTGCTGATTTGAAGTCCGCTGTTGTGTTCTCGAATGCAAACGATGCTAAAGAAGTCTTGAGCGTGATTTTAATGGGAGGAGTCCCGTTGGATGAACCGATTGCTCGACGTGGACCTTTTGTGATGAATACAGAGGACGAGATTCAGCAATGTTTCAGAGATTATACTGCTGGACTGTTTGGAAAGATCAAGGCTGATGTTGTTAATTGAATTAAAGATTGCATCATATTTTGTCAAAAGATAAAGTTTATTAATCATGTTTTCTGAATTTTTGAAGTGTAAGTTGAACGGTTTGAGTCTGGGATGGAGCTGAATAGATCATTCGTGATCCACATGTGTTTATCATGTGTTTATCTGTAGGAATTCCAACTACACCTCCACCAGCTCCAAGCAATGAAAGATGAATTTCTTGAAGATGGTTTCCCTCACAAATATAGCCAATGCCGATCCCTGGAAAAGCCGAAGTGATGGCCTGATCGAATTTGCTTTTGGAATACATGAGTCCATTTGGATTAATCCCTGCTTTTGATAGTGTGTTGAATATATTGTAGGTTTTGTGTGCCGCAACGACATCTCCAAAGAATTTTCCGACGTCAGCACCGTTTCCACCAGCACATTCGACATTTGCAGGAGAGTAACAGGTCCCATGTCGTTGCCATTCAAGTTTTAAGAGGGAATCTAATGAGTTGGGGCTTGTGGAAGCCCAATACTTTTCCAACTCTTGGTAAAGCTCTGAATCTCCAAGGAAACCAGTGATGCTCGAATATTGACGGTTTGTATCGCATCCATTTGTTCCGATTGAGGAGTCATGACAGCTCTCCAGTCGCATGCCTTCAATGCAGTAAGTATCGATTTGTCAGTCATAGTTTAAGTTGAACCTTACCCCCAATAGACCAAGATCCAGCAGGGATAGGATTCACAGCGATAAGAGAACAACTGTTGGTTGCACAAATCCCTGGCATCCATTTGAGTATGAGAGTCAAATGGCCGTTGTTGGGAACACAGCAGAAGTCTACGTCTCCCTTGCATGATCTGCTGTCAGCCGAGCAGGTTCCAAATACACTAGATGCAGGCAGGGCAGATACATATGTGATGGTACAAAGAACAAGGAGGGTTGAGAAATGTATCATATTATTTTTTTGCGGCATAATGTTGGAACTGAACCTTTCTTTGAGTGCACGCTGTCTTGAAACGCACTTCCATCTCCATCCCTGAAACCATGAAGTCTTGTGTGATAATCCTCAGAATTAAGATGAACTGAAGGTATTTTAATTTATCCAATTTATCCAACAACTTCTTCACCCGAATGAACGGAACCACCCCCGTGCCCCACCTTCCCTCCCTCGCCCTTGACACGGTCCGCCTCGCCCGCGTGTCCCCATCGCTCAACATGTCCGCCCTCAAAGCCGAATGCATCGCACGTGGAATCAGCAGCGACCGAATCAAAGCGAATTCAAAGACCAAAAACGATCTTCTTCTTCTTTTGGTCGACGGGACAATTCTGCTCAGCGAAACGAGAGAATTCAAAGTTGTTGAGCAATTGAAAGCCGCGATTGAAGTCGAATGTGCGCAAAAGAAGAGTGCGGCCCTCGAGGTACCTACTAACTTGGTAACCTATCTAACATGCATTTGCCCTTACAGTTGGATGCTATCAGGCGGGCCGAGGCGGAAAGACAGAAACAGAAGAGAGCTGCAACTGCAGAAGCAAAAAAGGAAGCTGAACGCAACGCTGCTCGTGCCGCTGAAATTGAACGCCAGAAACAATACCACGTGGTTCCAATTGATGCTACAGTGCATTCTTGCGCTCTGTTGGCCCCAACTCAGTCCCTTGTCTTTCACGGGTTTTCACGTGAACGCTCGGCTCAATGCGATGCGTCGTGGGCGGGATGTACACGAGGCAATGTTGTACTCTCCTGTGATTCTTGTGGATTCGATTTATGCAGAAATTGTGCAGAATTGGCCAAGCTGGATGCTGCGGGAAGGGATAAGAAGAGAAAGGAACGTGAGGCGGAGGTGGAAAGAGCTAGAAAGTTGGCTAAACAGGAAGAAGAGAGAAGACAGCGAATGTATGAAGCTGAAAAGCGCGCGAAACAGAAGGAAGTTGAGAAGCTCATCAAAGATTTGGAGGTATGCTTCTCACTGTGCAATCATCCCAAAACTAACTCACATTTACAGAAAGCAAAGGATTCAATCAAGAAGCCATCTGGTGTCAACAAGGACAAGAACAAAATGCTCAAGTACGTTGTATGGAAGTCTGATGGATACGACAATGATGGTAATTGCATAATTTACTTCTTGTTATTACTAACTTGTAAGCAAACAGGCTGGCATTCATACGATGGTCCTCCCGAAAAGGAGTTCGACTCATCCTATGCCTCCAAAGTGGATGCAAATGCTCGCGTCAAATACCTATTCTACGCCAAGAATGTATGGGGACTTGGTGTTGATGAAATGTTGGAACGCGATGAAATTATTGAGAAGGAAAACGATGCTCTGCTCCACTTGGAAACATGTCCAGCCGATAGTTCACGTTGGACCGTTGCAGCTGTTCCACGAGAAGCCTTCAAGTTCTTGGACAACGCAAAGAACAGTCGTGGATATAGTTCAGACGACGATGAGCGGGGTATGGCGTATTACGGAAGTGCTTGGTAAAAGTAGCTTTTTTTGGTTGGGTATCATTCTATTTATTCTACGTAGTTTTGTTGTTGTATGTCTTGATAATATAACCATCTCTTATCTGACTCCTATTTCCCCATTTCATCCCTGTCCACCACCACCACCACCACCACCACGTCCTCCGTGAACTTCATCCATATGTCTCCCAAGCCCCTCTCTATCCCCAAAAACCTCTCCACAAACTGCACAAGTCCCTCCAAAATCAATCGGCTTCACATCCCGCAACCGCACAGAAATCCCATGCCCCAACAAATGCCCTCTCACCTCTTCGGCCGTCGCGAACATCCGTACACATTCGGTGCACTTGTACGGCTTTTCTCTGTGAAGTATGACCCTCAGACTTCACCAAAGCTTAATTTGCATGCGTAAAATGATGCAGATGTCCCTCAAGACGTATTTTCAACCGTGGTTTGGGAGATATCAAGGGATTTTACTAACCATGGTGGGTGTTACACAGACTCCGTTCAAGGTACAACTGCCATGTTTTACGTGTCTGACACTTTTGATTGATTGCATATATTTACAATTGTCGATTCTATGGGTATAGATACCTTCTTTAATGAATTCACCAGGAATACTGTGAATCTTGATTATCATAAAGATAAATGAAATAATACTGTTAAATTTTATTGCATAGCTTGAAATTGCCTTAGTTAATTCCTTGTTTATGTATGATGGTTTAATTCTATGTAATCATTTCAACCGTTTCAAATCAACCCAATCAAATCATCACTCTCAAAACTTCCGGAATGTCTCACGACGCAAACACAAGAAAGTCTCCAAAATGTTCAATTTTACCTTCAACAAGCCATCTACATCGTTTCCAATGCCCGTCGGTGAAAAGAAGACCCAACCCCTCGA